TTAGGCAGGGGGACTGAACTGCTATTGGGCTTCATCCTTATGGGATTTTGACCAAAGCTTGTCACAGACATTACATCAGGACACCAGGGAACTAGCTTAACTTGTTGAAATAGGGTGTAATATGACTCCTTTAAAGTAAAATTTGTTTCGTTCCATATCAAAAGGTTCATTTATTCAAACTTGGCCCGCGGCTTTGTTCAGGTTTTCTGTGTTTTTCGAGTTTGACACTTCTGAACTAAATGAAGAATCGTCCTCTTATGAGGACGCGGAGTCTCGGGCTGTTGGGCTAAACTTCTCGATCATTTTAAATGATTCTCGGTGGAAACTGACCCTCGGTGACACGTCTTCTGCGTGACGCTGACCAGCCGATGTTTTCCTGGCCTACATTCCCAGAGAAGGAAGTGGCTCTCCGCGCTCCGACATTCATCTACTGAAACGGCCTCCGTTTGATTTAATTAGGGAAACAATTTTTCGGCGGGCTAAGAATAGAGGAACGAGACGGAAAGAGCTAGCTAGCGAGAGGAGGAGAATGTGAAATGGAGGCAATCTAATCAGGAAGATGCGTCCCCCCCCCTGCTCCTTTTTGTCAGACGCTGGTAATGGATGACTCCAGAAATGACAGTTATGGCCGGGATTAGTGAGTATATGAGTGTGTGTGTTCATGTGGGGGTCTGGGGGCGTTTGTGTGGAGCCGAATGAATAAACTAATGAATCTTTATTGTCATTGTCACAAGAACGACGAAATTTTAAAAGCGCCATCAATCAGTGCATATGCCCACAATTTACACACGATATGAGAATTAAATAACAAATAACGGATAAAAAAACACAACTAATAAATAAGAATAGCACAATCTCACACACATCATCCGTGATGATTAATGGTTATTTTTGGTTGCACTCTGGTACACTTACAGCCCCTGATCACAGTCTTATTGCTGTTATTTGCCAGGGGGGTTAGGGTTAGGGTTAGGGTTAGGGTTAGGGTTAGGGTTTTATAATGAACAGAAAACACACTCAAAAGGAGTGGATGACCAGACAAAGTTCAAACAAGGCAGACAAAACTATGAACTATGAACTATGAAAGCAAGATTATCAAGACTATGAGCAAAGTATCAAATAAAGTAAACAAGACTATGGCAAAAGTATCAAAGCAAGTAAACAAAAAGTGTGAATAAAGTGCAAAATCCAAATGGCAAAAACAAGACTGT